TGGCCCCACAGGTGTGGGAACGCGGCCCGGCAGCCGCCCCCGGCTCTGCAAACCGGCACGGTAAAGTCACGCTGGTTCGTCAGGCCTCAGCAGAGCGTTCGGCTGAGCTTGGTCTCGAGGAGCCTGCGTGGCTCTGTCCCAGGGGATGGTGCGACGGTGCCGGGGTTGGCTGCGATAGTGGAGTGGCCCCATGTGTGACTGCCCCTCTGCTCCCCCTGCCCCCTTTCCTTGGGCTCACAGGTTTTGGGATGCCAGTCAGCCCCTGTCTGGACTGTTACCTCCAACCACTGAGTCTTTGTTTGTTCAGGCCTAGGGAAGGAGCAGCAGCAGGTGAGCTTGAAGGCCTGGGAGGGATGCAAAGGAGAAGAGGAAGGCGGTGGAGACAATGCACTGCCTTTGGTTCCTGGCCTGCTGGTGGAAGACGAGCCTCAGCATGGCGTGGGAGCACCATGTCCTTGCCAGCTCCATGGGAACGTTTCTGTCAAGTGGAGGAGGAGATTCTGCAGGATTTTGAGATCTGCTGCACAGTAAGTCACAGAGATACGGGAGCAGGCTGAGCCCAGCCCTTGCGTCACTGTCTTCCCTCTGCTCTAGCTGCCTGACCTGAAGAGGCATGTAAATAGGGTCCCTGATTATTGAAGCCCCAATCCTTTTCTAAGCCTTATGTTTTATGCCTTCGTTTTTACACCTGCGCTCCCCTAAGGATGCTGTGATCCACCTGTAGGCAGGGGAATGTCCTCCTAGCCATGGTGGGGACCAGTCTCTGTAGTCAAACGTGGGAGAAAATGTCAAGGTACCATACTGAGTTAAGGCAGCTGGGTGAGAGTGGGAGTCAAGAGCCAGGGTCCGAGGGACGCAGTGTCAAGGCTGGGAGAGCCCAGCTGTGGTTCCCATGTGTCAGGATCTGCCCCTCTGCAGCCCCTGTTTCCTCTGGGTCTCCTCCCTTCATGCCTCCACTGCACCTGGGTGAGCTCTTGTGTCCTAAAGGCCCCTTCTATGTAAGTCTGTGTAAATAGATACTGCAAGTGTGGATGGAGAAATAGCTACCAGAGAGCAGCAGGCCAGAGAAAGGAAAAGTACATGCTGAAAGGTAGATTGTGAAAGTCTCCCAAAAACTGATGAGGTCTGGAGACTGGCAGTAGTGTTGAATCCCCAAGAACTGGAAAACTCAGGATACCATGAGTCTGCCAAATCTGTACGAGGCTGCTAACAGAGGTTAGCATCAGCTGTGCGTTGTGTAACTTGGGCCATGTCCAAGAATGCGGAGGCTGCTGTGTGCAAACAGAGACTGCAGGATTATACAAGCATCCAATGAGTGAAGAGCCCCTCTGAGGGATGTTGTGAGCACCCACCTGGAAGTCCCTGCTGCGTCAGTGTGACCCTCCACTCCTCAGTAAACAGCTGGCGTTGGACCCCAGGGATTGTTGCCCAGGTAGCAGCATGGTGAATGCAAGTGACCTGTGTGAATAAGTCACTGGGCTGTGGGACAGGTTATCTGCTGTTAGTAATACCAGCTTGAGTCTGTTAATAGTAACAGCTTAATGACTGAAAGATGTTCTAATAAATTTTAGCTCTGACTCGATCCCCTTAAGGTAAAAGGTAGTTTACACCACTTGGACGCTTGTTCCACATCTCCCCAGAGGGAGAGCTTGGGAAGAGCAGGAGTTGGGGATCCCTCTCACCCATCTGTGTGTGTTGCAGTGCCTGGAGACCAGCAGAGGATAGGCAACAGCTCACCAAAGAGAGCCTGCAGGTGCTGATATTTGTGCAGTCCCTGTGCCACCATAGCAGGTGAGGAGGTTCACCCCATAGGGCTGGTTAGGGAGAGCAGGCTGTGCCCACAGCCCACACAGGAGACAGCAGTTCTCAGCTGTGGCTGTGCAATGCCTGGCTAATGCAGAGAGCAGGAGCCGTGGCCAGCAGGGACGGCTCTCTAGCAACACATTTATTAAGCAAAAAGCCATGCGGAAAGTGAGTGTATGCTCGTGCAGTCTAGAGAGACGTAGAGCGCAGAAAAGCAGCAAGCAGCTTCCAGCTTAGGGATCTGAGAAATACTAAGGCCTTGAGTCTGTGTCTCAGCCCTGCTCCTGCTCTTGTGGTGGCAGGTCCTTGCCTCAGAGCCCTGGTGTAAGCCTGGAGGACATCCACGTTGGAGGCTTTTGGCCTCAGCTCTCCAGTGACTCGCTGTGACTTTGGCTGGGGTCAGACACAGGCAGCAGGGGTCTGTCAGGACATGTTTGGTCCCAAACGTGATGCCTGGGTATCCTAAATCCTATGGCTGGGGTTCCCTCCTGCTCGCTCCCTGGCCGTAAGCTGTGATACCTGGACAGCTGTCCTTTACCCAGCAGTGAGGGGTAGAGGCAGCCCCTGTCAGCTCTCTCCTGCTGCAGGTTTCAGGGCAGAGATGATGGTCTCTTGCTGTATTAGGCTATGTCCAGCCCAGGGACAGCGCTAGCAGCAGGATCAAGAGGCAGAATCCTTCTCATCCTTGTTAAACCCTCTTCCTCTCCCTTTCAGGACCAGGACACCTGTGTTTGTGCAGAAAATGCTGTGGGTTCTTCCCTTACCATTCAAAGTGGATCGAAGTCAATGCTTTTTTTCTGGGGAAAGAGGGTGACCAGGGCATCCTCCCTGCATCCACATCTGCCATGATTCCCTGGCTTACTCTTCTTGCCATGAACAGCTTCATGCTCTCCCAGACGGGCTTGGGAGGATGCTCAGGTATGATGGGAGCAGCAGCCTGGCTGGCTCCTGCTCTTACTGCAGACAAAATCAATGAGGAAAGAACAAAAATGAGTCCTTAAAATTAGCCCTTTGAAGTTGTTACCTAAAGGCTGGAGCTGGCAGCTGATCCTAAGCAAACTGCTGTGACTTTGCTGCCTGGAGCAGTCAGGGTGGTTTCTCTTCCAGGGTCTGTTCCCAGCACCGCAAGTTTGTTGTCTTCAGGATGAGGCAAGAAGGGGAAAACCCCCAGCCTCCATTTTAGCTCAGCAGATTTTCGTGCGAACTTCACAGCAGCTGAAGCCAGGTAACACATGTTGCTTCAGCTTCCCTGTAGCTGACCAGCAGTGCACGTTTGCTGGCACAAGCCAGGATGCCTGGAAGATCCTCTTCCGAGCAGAGCAGGGTCCCAACAACGCAGCACCCAATTCAAACAAACTGCTGCTGCTGCCTTCCCCCTTCTGAGATAGGGTGTCTCCGAGACAGGTATCCCTGCTTGGGGCCCAGTCCCTGGGCAGTGGAGATGCACTCCAGCCTTTGGTCCTAAGGGCAACGTTACCCAAGGGGTGGAGCAGGGCTCATAGGACCTTAGTCAGGGCTGCAGGGTAGGGCCAAAGCAGGAGTGATAGGCAGGTGAAGGAAGCTTCATGTTTTATTTCTCTGTAGCACACCCAGAAACTAAAGTGGCCTCAGTCCCACCTTCGCCCTGAAGCTCCAAGCACATTGATGGGGTGGCAGCTCTTCTCCAGTGCTTCTGGGGTGGAAAAAAAGCCTCTCCTGCCCTGCCTGGCTGTGTTGCCAGCACTCATAGGTTATGCCTCTGTGAGGAGCGAGTGAAACAGCAGCTGCTACTGTCCTTTGAGGGGATTTTAGGGATGGGTGAAGCTCTGTAATGGCAAAGGAGAGGCTGGATCCAAGAGAAAACAACTGACCTAGTCAATAGCTGTTTCTCTGCCGGGGAGATCTCTCTGCTAAGAGATCAAATGTAGTAGTGGTTCCTAAATACAATAAATGTACAGCAGGATTCACTGTGGGAGAACCGGGCTGGCTGGGACTGAGCTCTCCTCCGCCAGCTACCACACAAAGGACTGGGGCATTTGGCTCCACTTGACCCTTTTGGGGGCCAAAGTGGGAGGTTCAGTTGGCCGTTTCTGGGAAAGGGAGCCACAGGCAGGACACTTCTTGTGCGCTACCGGAAGTGGAGTCTGTCTTTAGTCTTCAGTAGCTGCAAAGATGGCATGCGGGAATCTGATTCATGTGTCTGATAACAGTTTCTAGAGCAGAAACTACTTTTCTCCCCACCCAAGAAACATGAGCAGACAGGGTCTTTGATTTCCCGTATTTATTCATATTAAAACAATTATATTAATATTGATTTATGGTAGTGTTTTACAGCCTTGTAAATAGAACATAAGTACATAAGTAGCTGAACTTGTACTTTCCGTACCTTTGTAAAAACCACAGAAAGAGCAAGGCGGGACAAGGAAAGCATGTGTAAAGGGAGAAGGAGAGAAGAAACCCGAGAAGACCATTTTCTTCCCCCGCCATTACCCATGGAAAGGAGAGAAGAGATGCAGTGGGCAGACAGCAGTAGGGACATGGTGGTGGCTCTCAGCTGCCCTCTCCCAACTCCAGCAGCACAGCCCAAGAGCTCTTCCCAAAGGAGGAGCTGGGCAACAAGCAGGTGAGTTGTCCTGCCAGCAGGGTTTTTTTTTTTTTTGTCATGAATTAACTCAATGAAGAGCTGCTTTGTATTAGTTGTGACTCTCCAAATCTTATTCCCAATGGCAGAAATGACGCAGCATGTTGCTAATGCACTCAGCTTTTCCCAGTTGCTCCACAGCAAGGGGTGTACAGGCTGCTAAAAGCAGAAAAAACAGTGGGGGCAAAAGCGCAACGGGCCTGCCTGCTTCCTTCTTCTGCAGTATTTTATCTATGGGTTAATGAATGCAAAATCTAGTTACTGCTCCTTCTGCAGGGTTGTCTGAAAAACAGGCTCACTCACCCTTTGCAGCTCTCCCTGGTATTTCGCAAGATGGCCCCAAACAGCTGGTCAAAGGATGGGCAAGAGTTGAGGTATCAGTTACCCGCCAGCAACAAGGACAAGGGCAGACAAGGGCAGAGTGTGGTTTTCTAGTGCCTGCCTGGCAGGCCCGTTTGAGGGTCCACACTGAAATGTTTTGCCCAGTTTTGCACAGAAAAAGAGCGGGACTCCACACTCCAGGCACTTTCAATCCATACCACAGTGGGAATTAAACTTGTGTTTTTTTCAAATAGAGGGAAGGCCTGATGCACTGCAGAGTGAGTGTGCGTCACTCATCTGCAAGTGACCTGAAAACTAGCTCCAGAAGAGCCCAAGATTTCCTGTTCAGCACCAAATTGTAGCTAATGCCAGGCACCAGGCAGAGTGTTCAGGGGTGCTGCATGGTTAATACAGATACTGTCAGACCTGGCACTTTACAGTAAAGTTGTGCCCAACAAAAGCTTTACCAGGGCCTCTTGCAGAAGCTCAAGGACATCAAGAGCCAAACTTGCAGCACCTTGAGTGGGCCGCAGCTGAAATGTAGATGTGTGTTCTCACCAGCAGCTTTAGCGAAGAGTATGGTTTGGCCATCATGCTTCCCGGAGGAATGAACGGAAGGAGTTTGCCCTCCTGTCCTGCAGGGCTGTCCTGCAGCGGCGCTCCCTGAAGTGGAGAAAGCACTGCTGGCCACTGCCTCGAGAAGAACTCTTTACAGTGGAGGGCAGTCAAGGGGCCACCCCATCGCATGTGCAAACACATTCTGACCTATCAGTGCCCAACTTTGCTGCGTGTGGCTCAGGGTCCAGCTGCTGCATCTCACGCCTCCAGACCTGGTCCAGCTCACAGTGAATGTGACATTATCTGCTGACATGGCTGTGCTGTGGCCCGCCTGTTTCCTATAGGTGGCTTCATACTGAATCACGGAAAGGTTGAGTTTGGAAGAACTTTAGAAATCCTCTAGTCGAAATCCCCTGCTCAAGCAGGGTCACCTAGAGCATGTTGCTTAGGACCCTGTGCAGATGGCTTTTGAATATCTCCAAGGATGGAGACTGTCTGGGTGATCTGTTCCAAAGCTCAATTACCCTCACAGTAAAGAAATTTTTCTTCATGTTTAGACAGAACCTCCTGTGTTTCCTTTTGTGCCTGTTGCCTCTTGTCCTGTCGCTGGGCACCACTGAGAAGAGTCTGGCCCCATCCTCTTCACACCCTCCCTTCAGATACTTGTACACATTGATCAGATCCCTGCTCAATCTTCTCCAGGCTGAACAGGCCCAGCTCCCTCAGCCTTTCCTCATAGGAGAGATGCTCCAGTCCCCTAATCATCTTAGGAGCCCTTTGCTGGACTCTCTCCAGTAGCTCCATGTCTCTCTTCTGGGAGCCCAGAACTGGGCCAAGTACTCGAGATGTGGCCTCAGCAGGGCTGAGTAGAGGGGGAGGATTCCCTCCCTCGACCTGCTGGCAATGCTCTGTCTAATGTGGCCCAGCAGGCCATTGGCCTTCTTGGCTACAAGGGCACGTTGCTGGCTCATGGTCAACTTGTTGCCCACCAGGACCTCCAGGTCCTTCTCTGCGCCTGCTTGCAGTTACCCTTCTGTGTGGGTATGTTCTACTGAGATGAGAGGAGGCTGGTGGTGCAGGGACACATCTCTGGAGGGAAAAAGGCTGGGGGGAACCCTTTGGGGGATGAGCCTCTGGAGAGAGGATAGCCAAGATGAGATGTGTCTCTGTTGTTATGTCCTGGCTGTAGGAGGTGACCTCCTCCCAGGGCTGATCTGTAAGCCCAGATACTAGCTGCTATGCTGCCACCTGAGGCAGGGTCCTGGGGAAACGCACTGCCCTCAGGGAGAGAGGCTAGGAGGCCCAGGAGCCCAATGGCACCAGCCCCAGCATTGATACGCACCATCCAGCTTGGCAGGGGAGCAGGCCACTGGATCAGACTGGGGTCCCAGCCCAGGGTCCTGCAGGGCCAGGGCTAGTACCCCCTGTCCTGGGTCCCCAGGGCCTCTGCCCCCAGCCTGGCCTGGGAGAAGAGTGGGAGGGCCTGGCCAGGAGTGCCCTCCAGCTGGCATCATCTGCAAGCCATAGGTGGCCCTGTAGCCTCCATGGAGATCCCTTTCATGGCTCTACAGTCCCTGTGATGCTCCCTATGGTGGCCTTTCAGCCCCTACAGAAGTCCTTCCAGCAGCCCTGCAACCCCCATAGTGACCCTGCAGCCATCCGTAGCCCCCCCGGCTGCCCCTGGCCCTGCATAGCCAGGCTACTTCACCCTTACTCAATGTGCTCAGGCTCCAAGGGGGCCCGGGACAGGCAGTGGCCCATGCTCATGCTAGGGATGGGGCACACAAGGCTGGCTGCAGAAGCTTGGCTACTGCCTTGGTTGGTAATGTCACTAGTTGCTGTGCGAAGGACCCCCGAGAAGAGGCACGCAGGCTGCACCTGCTGTGTTTTGTGGAAGCCTTCAGCGCCAAAACAGCTCTCTGCCATCACTCAACATCTTATAGTCCAGGCTGGTCTGGATTACTAAAAAATCGGAAATGAAATGATGCAGAAAATGCTTTTCGTATAATTCAGTGTCTTCATCATGCTCTTCTTGTGCACTTAACACTGAGATTTTTCTATTTGGTGGCCCAAGAAATACCAGAAGATCAGAAGCCCAGGCTGGTTCCCAGTAGCTTTTGAAATCTCTGCCTGTCCTGCCCTGCTTGCCTTGCCTCGCAGTGTATGTCCCTGAGAGCAGCTTGCACAGGCATCGCTGGGACCTACAGCAACAGCACAAGCATCAGCCGCAGCCCCAGCGCACCATGCTACTTCAGGGCACCTGCCCGATGGCAGGAGGGAGAAGTTGCAGGAAATGCCTTTGGGCCCGATACATGACATTAGTTTTTTCAGCTTGCCTTTAGAAAGCACAGAGAGCCTTGTTCAGAGGTTGGAGAAGCAGCTTGGAGAGCCACACTTCCCTCTTAACTGGAAG